AAAAAAAAATCTTTAAACCCATCTATAACCTGTAAACCCTCACTTTGGAATATCCCACCTTTTGGGACAAAACCAATGTATGTCTTCCACATATTAATTTATCACTTTACCTATAATTCCTGTCTCCCTGAAATGTATTAAAACCAAACTATAATCCTGCCACCACTGGGTCCACTTGCAACGGGTTCTTGTGTGTGTCTCCAGGTAAATTTCCCAAATTTAGCTCAGAATAAATCTCTTTAAATTATCTTACAGAGTATGGCTCCATTTCTGTTGACACCACTATCATAGTCCAAAAAAGGTGACAACAAACCTACAACAAATCAAATACTGAATTTGGTTTGCTTCTTCGTGCATCTTTTTTTTTTTTTTTTGGGGGGTAGAGACAAGAATCTCACTTTATCGCCCTGGGTAGAGTGCTATGGCGTCACACAGCTCACAGCAACCTCCAGCTCTTGGGCTCAAGCGATTCTCTTGCCTCAGCCTCCCGAGTAGCTGGGACCACAGGCGCCCGCCACAACGCCCGCCTATTTTTTGTTGCAGTTTGGCCGCGGCCAGGCTTGAACCTGCCACCCTCGGCATATGGGGCCGGCGCTCGACCCACCGAGACACAGGCACTGCCCCCTTCGTGCATCTTTTAAAAGCCCTTCCTTCAGTCCTCTCCTGTAGATTCCCAAACACAAACCATGTCCATGGCTGGGGACTTCCTGACCCATAAATGACTGTTTGTTCTAATAAACTATTTAATGTTTTAATGGTGCCTTAGTTTAAATGTAACAGGAGAAAAGAGACTTAGCAACCCCACCGCCCCTGCCACTGAGTTGGGATTCTCGCCTCATAGTCCCCACGTCTTTACAGAACGTTACTGGGAAGACCTGAGGCCGCGGGCTCAAGCGGCCCAGAGAGGGCTCTGGCTGTGGGAGTCACTCAGGGACAGGGCAGTTCATCAGGGTCCCGGCTGCGCTTCGAGCCCGCACCCTGTGGCCCGAAGCGGGACAGACCCCAGCAGAATTTCCAGACGCGGAGTTTTCGTAGTTGCCTGGACCCATCACAGCCAGTTCCCGCCGGTTCCCACTCCCCGACGGTAACCAGCCCCACACACTCACCACTTTCTGGCTTCCACGTAGTCCCGGCATCCCCCTTCCAGAACTGCGATTCAGGCACAGAGGCTGGGGGAGAGACACCGGGACCCTCCAAAGCCAAGAAGCAATAGTTAGCACGGACCGATCCGGCAGGTTGACGCCAAAGAAAAGGGTGGTGGCAGAGGATAGACACCACCCCTTCCGCTTCCTCTGCAAGCCTATTGAACAGATTTCAGCTCCTGATTGGGTAAGGCTTCAAGCCCGCCCCCAAATCCCCTGAGCGACAGGTGATGGCGTCTCTCACGTTTAAAGGAACAACCAGGATTTCTTCCTAGAAAGACAGGACACTTTCGGAGGGTGTTCATATTTATCCTCATATATAACGTTATGTCCATATGGATAATACTGTAAGATTCAGGCCGGGTGCGGTAGCTCATGCCTGTAATCCTAGCACTCTGGGAGGCCGAGGCGGGTAGATTCCCTGAGCTCACATGTTGGAGACCAGCCCGAGCTGGAGCAAGACCTCGTCTCTTATAAGTAGCCAGGCGTTATGGCGGACGCCTGTAGTCCCAAAATACTCGAGAGGCTAAGGCAAGGGAATCACTTGAACCCAAGAGTTGGAGGTTGTTGTGAGCTGTGACACCACAGCACTCTAACAAGGGTGACAAAGTGAGACTATCTCAAAAAAAAAAAAAATCAAAATTCAAAACCACAATGATAAACATTCCAAAATTTCAAATTTGGGGCCAGGTAGGTTACCTTGGGCCTCTTAGCACTTTGAGAAGCCAAGGCACGAGAATTACTTGAGGTCAGGAGTTTGAGACCAGTCTGGGGATTGGTCTCCCATAGCGGATACCCCCATCCCTACAAAAAAATTAATAAACAATAATAGCCGGGCATAGTGGGTGACAGGTTCCAAACCCAAAGATGAAAGATTATTCCAAGGTGCAAAAGGAAAGGAAAATGTAATTCCCGTTCTGTGTAGGGCATGTGGTCTTTTTATTTCCACCTAGATGCAGGTGAGATGAAACCAGAATAGGAATTTCACACAAGAGCTAAGGCAGACGGGGATTTAAGAGTCAAAGAGGCTGAGATTGGTCCATCCACTAGTTCCTAGGAGGGACACACACCCGATCCTTCTGGGGCAGGTTAGTTTTACCTGGGTGAGTGAGTAATCTGATTCTATCAGTGGGGTGTGC